AACTCATCAAACTGTATACCTAAAATGGGTGAATCTCACTATATTCAAATTATTCCTTAATATATTTGAATTATATTTAAAAAATGAAAGAGACAATAGCTGTGAGTCAGAAATGAGATGGACTTTGATGTCACATATTCTGGACATAGAGTCCTGCACCCTATGGTGTCCTCCAGGTGCAATGACAGTCTGCTTCCTGGCTGAGGAGCTCCCAGGCCCCTGGGACCCCAAACAGAGGTCAAGGCCCCATCTCTTGTCTGACATAAGTGCTCTGCTAGCCGGATCAAGTCCCTTGGGCCCAGCATTCAGTTGCCCAGGTGACCGCAGGCAAGCACTGTTCCAAAGTTTTGGGGATATGCACATTGATACAGCAAAAGAGGGAATTCCATCAAGACTTGATTATTTAGTCAGATACTACCAAGCCCAGCAGGGAGATGCAGAGACTATAACTTATTTAAAAACAAAGAAACAAACACTTAAGGACTTCTCAAAAAGGAAAAGAAATGACAAATTATCAACTCAACAGGGTATTCTAGCTGACCACAAGTTTCCAACAGAAATTCGAGCTGTTGCCTTTTGTGTTTTTGCAAGCTTTGCACTCCCACTCCAATTTATTGTCTCTGCTTCCTGGGAAGAACACTTAGGACGCTACAGAGTGAATATTTTGTCCAAATTGCCTGGGCCAGATATTGGGTTCCATTTTTGCCCCAGCATGATCTAGGGTACAGGAAAGCATGCCAAACCAGAGGTTGGACAGTTGTGGGCAATGCTGACTGCTGACTGCGTTAGACAATGCAATAATAGATTCCTTTGGGAACCTTTCACCTGAGGTTTTTGTCTCCATTGCCAAGAGTAAAATTGGTCTGTGGTTATCATCAGGAAGGTGGGTGGGGTAGGATGGCTATCTTTGTCAGATTTGGGTATCAGGGTGATGTTGGCTTCAGATTCACTCAGGAGCATGAAATCAATCCATCCTTTCCCCCATATGCTCTGGAAGAATTTAAATAACATGGAAATGACCTGTTCCTCCTGTTTAAAGGAACTCACACTCAAACTCTACACCTGGTGTCTTTTTTAGAGATGACAACTTTTAAACTTTCTTCCATAGTTATTGGTCTTTCACTCATCAAGTCAGTTTTGGCAATTTACAAATATATGCCTAGAATATTATTATTTAATGCTGAAACACTGATTCATAACCATGGAGTTGTATATACTATTCTCTAAAATTTCAAAAGTCATCTCCATGGTTATGTTAGTAATTCCTTTCTCATCTGATCTTTTTTATCCTCACCCAAGAATATGTTTATTTATTTGAGAGAGAGAGAGAAACATTGATGTGAGAGAGAAACATTGATCGGTCTCCTTCCGCATGTGCCCAGACTGGGGATGAAACCTGCAACCTGGCCATGTGCCCTGATTGGAATTGAACCTGCAACCTTTTGGTGTATGGGAGGACACTCAAACCAACTGAGCCACCCGGCCAGGGCTGTATTTTTCATTGACTGGCCGGTCAGTTTTAATTTGCCCCTCCCTTCCTTTGTCCATAAAGAAGAATCTAAGTATGAATCACACTGCTTCTAGGAGGAATTCTGCTTCTCCTCCCCCAGCCTGTGTTTGAGCTGCTGTTTCCAGGAGTCATGATCCCAGAGAGCTGTGGAGGAAAGAGATAAAGGTTTGAACGGCACTCTGGCTAAACTTCAAAGCACAGGCATATGGCTTTTTGTCTGCTTCCAGACTGCCTTTGAGGATCTGGTGGAAACCACACCCTGTTTCCAGAATGTGCCTTGGTTTGAATCCCAGCTCTCCCATATATTAAGCTGAGGAAACCGAAGCAAATCACATGACCTCTTTATGCCTCTGCTTCCCCATCTGCAGAATGGCTACACTGACAGTGTGTCCTTCTCAGCGTCATTATGAGTATTAAATGGGCTAACCTTTGTAGAGCGTTTAGGGCAGAGCCTGGCACATAGCTAAAGCAGCTTCTGTGAATCGAGGCGCACTGCGGGGTGGTGGAGGGCTGCCGCAAACAGAGTGAGGAGTTAAGGGGGACGTGGTGGAAGCAGGCAGAGGAAAGAGGCTGGGAAAGCTGGGGACTGGGAGCTGAGGCTCTGCTAGGTAGCAAGGGCTGTGTCTTCACCTGACATCACCCTGGGGCTGTGGTGAACCTTGAGGGATGTAAGGCTAACTGGTGTCTTGTGCCCAAGCTATGCAGAAATTGGAGAGGCCTGCTCTCGGAGGTCAACAAGCCTATGTGAGATAACTAGAGGGAACTGAAGACCCCTCGCTGATGTTCCGGGCTTTTAAAGCTTCTCAGGTGGGAGTAAAATGATTCAGGACATTGAATTTTCCACTTGGTAGCCAGGGACTCAAAGCAGGTTACATTTGGTTTTGAAAAAGGAAAAAAGAAGAGATGGTTTCATGCAGTCAGGACACGCAAGTGCAAAGGCCCCAGCTGCTCCCTTGCCTTCTGTATTTTGAGTTTCAGCATTAAAGGTTTTTTGAGAACTTCTCATTCTCAGAAAGTTCTGCAAATTCCAGAATATACATGTGTCATGTGCACCCTTGGGCCCCAGGTTGTGGCTGTTCTCCACAGCTGTATCCACACAGGCTTCAGTGAGGCTCCTGGGGTGTGGGCAGCGCTTCTCATTGGCCCTGGCCAGGCCCACCCACAGGCACCTCCTGCATGACTCAACCTGGGGGATGCCTGTGGGGGTTGCAGAGAGCTGTGCAGTGATTTCCAATAGGAGCTGTGGCTGTGGTGTGTGCTCGGATGCAGCCATAGTGAGGAGCCGTCTTGTGCATGACCAGCAGGCCTCAGGGGCTGTGCATGGGTAGCCAAGGTGCCTTGGCTTCTTGTCTTGACCATGAGGGGAGGAGATGCCAGGCGGATCTGGGAAGTAGCCCCCCACCTAGAGGGGCAGGCGTTGTTACCTCAGTTAGTCTGGAACCAGCAAGGCAAGCAGGACTCCCCTTAGCTGGGGGGTCAGGAATGGAGATGACCCCCCTACCATGCCTTCCTCCTTTTCCTGGAAGGCCCTGTGTGGTGCTGAGTGCCAAGCTCAGGTGGGCACACAGGTACTGCCAGGGACCAAGGGGGACCCTGGTTGGTGCCAAGGCCCTCACCAACTGGCTTTCTTAGAAATCCACTTTCAAGAAATAACCCTGCTTGATCCCCAGTCGGGGGCGTGCAGGAGGCAGCTGATCAATGACGACTCTCTCATCATTGATGTTTCTCTCTCTCTCTCTCTCTCTCTCTTTCTCTCTCTCTCTCTCTCTCTCCCTCCCTCCCCCTTCCTCTCTCTCTGGAAATCAATAAAGATATATTAAAAAGAAAAAAGAAATAACCCTTTCTTGGTTCAGCCAGGGAAGCTGGTCCTGCTCCTCCTCTCCTCCTCCCCCAGCCCTCTAGTCTGCCCAGAGCCAGGCAGGCTACCCCTCCCTCCAGGAGCACCATGAATCCCCAGGAGCCTCCCTTGAGCACTGGCTGAGCCTGTGGCCTCAGATAGGCTCCTATTCTGGGCTTCCTTTCTGATACGGGAATTGGGGACTTTTGACTCCACCTCAAGGGCCCTCTGATAGTCCAGAATAGGGTGACCGTGTCTGAGCCCTCCCTTGCTCAGTCTTGGGGGTGCTTAGAATGGAGGGGTGGGGCTGGAATCAAGACAGCATCTCGGAGGCACAGGAGGGCGTGAGTGCAGCAGGACAGCCCTTGGACGACAGGCTTTTGTCTACTCTCTTCGGGCCTCATGGCCCAGCCTGGAGGGAGGGTGGAAGGGCTGAAGCGCACTCTCTGTGCCAGGAAAGAGCTGATCCTAGCAAGCTCCACTCCATCCTGCTGCCTTGGCTGGGAGTGGCCCAAGGCTCAGGGGGCTGGGGCCAGGGCCCTCTGGAAGCACAGCATGGCTCCTAGAAGCCCTCCCTCCCCACCCTGCCAGAAGACTTAGTTGCTACCAAGGACCCTGAGGTATAAATTGCATGAGAGCCAAAAGGGGGGCTCCTTTCTCCTTTGGGAACTCTGGGTGCAAACAAGCGGGGGTCCACAGTGATCTGGAGGGTAGGTCCAAGCCCCTGCAGCTCACACAGTGCCTGTCCCTGTAGCCGGAGCATGCTGGCTCTCCATTTCTGCGTGCAAGCCTGGCGGGGGAGCATTCCCACTTGATGCTGAGGAAACCAAGGCCCCAAGGTGTAGCATGACTTGTCCAAAGTCACACAGCCAGTGAGCAGGAGAACGGGCCCTGGAGCCAAGCCCTGGTTTTTGGACATCTCTTGCCCTTTTCCACTAGTGTTACTCCCCTGGGGAGGCAGGGAGCTGGCAGGGGGCAGGTAGGTGCAGAGGTATCCTGAGGGCTCATGGGAGGGGATGGAAGAGGGGAGGCACACCATTCCGCTTCTTCCTGCCATGACCCAGTATCTAGGACCTCAAGGACACCACAGCCAGGGCTGGAGAGTGAGGGCTACGGCAGCCAAGGGCTTCCCTCCACCTCCAACTCCCACCTCCATCGGCCTCTGCCAAGTATACCCCCATCCCTTCCCTTCACACCACCTCCTATGTGAAGACTCCATGTCCCCCCAGGGGTTGTCTCACTAGGTGTGGCGTGCACCTGACTTCGTTCCCTGTGAGCTCTGAGAGTAGGGACTGTCTGATTCTTTAGTGTGTGTTCAATATGCGGATAAGTGGCTGGTAGAGTGAGTGCCTTCATATGAGAGTGAGGAGGGTGGGAGAGTGAGGCTGCAGGAGGCAAATGGTGAAGGGGTGGGAGACTGACCAGAGACCCTCACCCCGGGGGGATCCTCTTCCCACACAGAGGGCTTGGCTTGGGGGTAAACTTCTCAGGGTTTCCACAGTGGGCTCGATGCCCTCTTGATCAAGCTGTAGTCCTGATGGGGCTGTGGCTGCTCTTTCTGAGTTCTGCTGGGAGAAAGAAGTCCCATGTTGTCCCCAGAGCCCAACCTAGCTCTGGCAGGCCCATCAGGCAGGCCATATGCAGAGCCAGAGAGTAGAAAAACCTTGTTTTATTCAGCTCAGGTCTGGGCAATCTTGCTCTGTGGTATAGTCAAAATATAAAAAATAATAACCAACAACCAACAAAATAATGTTGTAGAGAAAACTTAAGTATGAAATTGGGCCTGGCACCCGGAATCCCTGTGGTTTTGGTCCAGGTTCACTCCCTGAGGCCGGCAGAGAGGGATGCCCCTGTGTTCAGCTGCCCCTGCCTGTGGGTAAGGGGTTGCACCCCTTGGACCAGGTTTGTCCTGGTGGGACACTGCCTGGTAAGCAGGACCTGCTTTGGGAAGCGGGGCAGTTGGCCGTCTGTCCACCTTCTTGGAGATCAGGATCTAAGGGAAGAAAGAGAGGTAGGCTTCTGGGTAGGCCCCTCATTCCACTGTTGGCAAGGTCCCCACTGCCTCCCCTGCTGAGGGCTTCCCCTCCACAGGCCAGATCCCACATGGGAGGGTTTGGGGAAAGGGCCCCCTAAGCCCAGGTCCAAGAAGAGGCGTTTCATGGACTCCAACCCAGGGCAGGGTCTCAGCACCACTCCTTCCCCATACCCCAGCCTGTTTTCTTTCCCTCCCTCCCTCCCTCTCTTCCTCCCTCCCTCTCTTCCTCCCTCCCTCCCTC